CGCCTAGCGCGTAGCCTTCGCTACCGCGGCCGCTCCAACGGTCTACGTGCGCTCGGATTGGTCGTCAGCGGCAGCGTCAATGTCCTTCGATGCACGTCGAGGTCACTTGTCGCGTACAGGCGCGGCCGTCAGCGCGTAGCCTTCGCTACCGCGGCCGCTCGAACGGTCTACGCGCGCTCTGATTGGTCGGGGTTTTCTCTTAATATCTCCTTAACGAAGCCCCATCCGACATTTTTGCAAAGGAAATTGTTGTTCAGAATCGTCTCAGCTACACCCCATTTCCGACTCCTCCTCGACTTTTGGGACACCCTGTATACTCGTACATTTTAAACAATCTAGTTTCATTTCATTTGAATATTGCCTATAACTTCACATATCTTTGACTTGTCTGGATGTCTTTTTCTACTAGCATAACCCACTCCGAGCAGGTTAACCCGCTCTTCCTACAATTCAAGAACCGTTCCTTCGTGGTTAGTACGGGTTACAGTAACCTTCCCTTCATTAACCGGGTTTGGGTTAGGGTTCAGCAGCGGTTCGAATCCCTGATCCGCCGCCGCTGTGGCGAGAATTACAGAACGCACACCGTGCGTCCTCCGCAGTCAACGTGTTAACAAGTCTTAGCCTCTATTCCGTATCTCCAAAACGAAGAAAGTCACTCGTGAGTTCTGTTTCATGTGGACCGCTCTCTGTATAATGGAAAAGGTATGATATCAGGCGTATTCGTCCAGAATAGCCAAACAGATAAACGAATAGACAAGGCAAACATATCAAACAAATAGGCAGATCGGTAAGGCAGATAGAAAGAGAGAGATAGAGAGAGAGAGAAAGAGAAGGGTGGGAGAGGTAGAAGGGGAGAGAGAGAAAGCGAGAAAAATGTAGTCTTACCGGAAGCCCGTGACGGTGGTCCACAGTGTCCTGTGGTTACTTATCGAGGTGGTATGGAGTGCGGCAGTGGGAAGGAGGCCGAGTTACCGGTCCTCGGAGATACAGGCTCGCACTGCCACACAGTAACCGTTGGGGCTACGCACTCTGTTGTCGTTGTTCGATGATGGTGGTCGGTCGGTCGATCGAGGCCACGATTCGTCGTCGATCGGGGATGGGGTTGTGACGATGGCCGATGGCGTTTCGACCGAGCGAACCGAGCATTTTGATCGACCACGTGTGTATGCATGTAAGAGATTGCCGGACGGTGCCGACCGAGAAAGGAGATCAAGGTAATCAACAAAGAGACAAGTGCAGAACAGAACGCGACGTTCTTCGTCAGCGGATCATGAGAGAAGACGAACACTCAGTAAGTGGAGAACGATCAGCGGCAGTAGCTTTTGGCATTTGGCGTGTATCAACGTGAACGAGGAACGAGGCCTGGGGTTACAGGGTTTGAACACGGCGTTGTAAACTCACAGTGGCGTGCGACGGGCACACACGTAACATCGGCGTAACATCGTATAACACCAGAGCGGGAGAGAAGGCGTGAAGCTTCATCGTTTTCGCCGGATCCCTCTCGTCTCATCCCCCTTCTCTCCACTCTGTTTCGTTTCGGCTTCGCTTAAGTTTTCTGTTATTTTGTTTTTTTTTTGTTTTTGTTTTTGTTTTTTCAATCGCTTTGTTCTTTGGTCGTGGATATTGGGTCGTTGGTGTCTCAGGCTGGCATAGGCGGAACGAGTAACTCAGCGACAGGCAACAGCGGCGCAACAGCGATCGCACAGAGATGAGCAAAGAGCACATATTATTGCGACGAGTGATCTTTTGGGAATGCCAGCTTCTCCATGAATAGACAGATAGACAGACAGAGACAGGATGAATGCGATTTCGCACTGCTCGAACGCGAGGCATATCTGGTTTACGTTTCTTTTTCTTTTCGATTCTCAATATCTACGGAAAGTGATCCGATTATTACGAACGATCACTTGCATACGTTGGGTGTATTTCAGTTATCGCGAAAGTACGTGCAGGATTTAACTTTGGTTCGGACGAAACTGTGACCTAACTGGGTTATTAAGAACGTTGCAATAACGTGTTGGACACTTTAATTTAGTTAACAAACGCAGTGTTACTTTCTTTCTATCTTTATGTTCAAAAACCCACGTTGTATTCAGCGCGGCTAAAACACAAGCGATTTTGTCGACGCACGGCTGTCGGTAAGGACAAGTTAGTTTTAAAATCGACTTTTAAGTTTCCAATTTGTATTTTTTAATCTAAATGGCAGATGAATAAATTGTAGATATAAAAAGATTCGTCTTATCATTCTCTACAAGGTATTGACGAATTCCATTATTGGATTCCGATATAAATATGTTGAAAATACTTTCTATGGTCAGCCAAGCGGTTTGAGCAACTACTACTCGAGGACGTACATACGTTCTTCGCGGTTAAAAGGTTAATAAAAATAGTAATTAAAACGAGTAAATTCCATCAAGATCGGTCCTGGCTTTGCTAATGAATTCTTTGGTAAGATTATACCAGCAGATTTTGTTATAAGCATGGCTACTATATATTGTACAAATTTAATTCGCGTCACTAAATAATTATCGAGTCGGTAAAGTAGAGAACAGATGCGCGTTTTGGCACCAGTCGGCCCTAGAAGTGTCTTGATCGCTACAATTTGTGATTGTATACATGTATATACAATTACTTACATACCTCCGAAATAAACTTTTGAAATAACTCTTGAAGCAATTTATCGTTTAAATTCAGTGCGGTTGTTTCTTAAATAGCGTGTTCCAATATATTCGTAGCAGAAAAATTCATGTCGCACACCACAGGGCAAACCAAAGATAAATCCTGTTCTGATAACGTTTCATTAAACTTGCGGCAATAACGATCACCGAGATTGAACACTGAATTGTCGTGGACATGTAACTAAATTAGAAGAATTGAAGCAAATAAACGGTGAGATGATTAATAAATGATAAATCATCGTACCAGTCCTTTACGATTGATCACCGAATGCGCTAGTAATTCGAAAAGTCTCTCGAATTTTTCACCGAAACCTCGAAAAAATGCGAGGCTCCCTTCCAGGGCGATCCGTTTCCGGTTCGATTAGTTTAAACTTAGGATCGATATGCGTCTCGAAACTTTACGTGGGCTGACTTGGACAAAAGATTCTTAAGGCACTCGAAGCGTTCGCTCGGTCAAATCGCTCGAGATCGATGAGAAGCGATTACACGAATACACTCGGAAAAGGGAAAGTAGAAAAAACGAAATAACCGTGTAAAGTGAAAAAAAGAGTGAAAGAGAGAAAGAAGCATGGTATCGCACAGGAAACACGCACAAGTGTTAGATATAAAGATCTATGAATGATGGCGTGTGAGAAAATGTAAAAAAATGTATAGAAATGGTACGGACCTACATATAACGAGTTATCCAAAGAAATACATGAACTTCGCGTGGTAGTGGAAGAAATCATTCTCTAGGCAGTATTTCATTTCTAGTTATACAACAGAATGAAATAGATTTCTTGTAACGTTTCCCACCGCCACAACTGTTTCCCTACGAAACTTGTTCCACTTTGCTCCAACGCAATACATAATGTCTGAAATTTCTCGTACTTTCGCCATAGCCTAACGTTATTAGTGCAAGCAGCACATTGTATTATTCGTAACAGCATCCAAGGTCGTCGATTCATTTTAATTCGATTCGTTAGACCGTTTATGTATACATGTACGTCCGTGCAGATACATTTATTCGCATGCGTACGATACGCACGGGATTAGCCGACGAGGAGGATTCAATCTGCTGATTTGCTGGTGGACGAAGATGGATCGAGCGGAACGACGGTCCAACGATTGATTACGGTGGTGATGAGAGAATAAGAGAGGAACGAGAATACAGAAGTAGTCAAAGATTGCGTGAGAGACAGACAGATAGACAGACAGGCAAACAATTGCACGAATGGATGAACGATCTGACGGACGGACCAGCGAATGGTTAGGCGAAACGATGGACAGAGAAAGCAACGTAACCGTACTCACGGGTTTCGCGTCTTTTGTCTCCGGTGAGACTCATCGTCCTGTTGAGTTCCCTCTTCGCCGCTTTGAACAATCGTAGATCTTCCAGAATGTCTCCATGGTCCCTCATTGGCCTGGTGAACGAGCTTCGTCGACGGTCACGGTTGTGATGCATCATGACCGACATGTCTGCTTCGCCCATGCTTCCACCTGTTAAGTCAAATACCCTTATGTTATGTACGCGCATGCTTCGCTGATGCGAGTTCCAATGTGAGTTCCAATGTGAGTTCCGATGCACATATTCCACATGTCGAATGGACTTTGTGTGGATTATTTGAAACAATATTATAGGATTTTATTAGATAATGACAATGGATGGTATTATTGCTACAATAGTGGTGCAGGATTGCAGTTAAACTATCGTTGTATAAAATATAAACAACGTACATAAATGATGTAATTGTATTTAATGTTCTGAAAAAAAGGATGGGAACAGAGGTGAGCTTGTATTCAGAAAAAAAATGTCAAGTAACGAATAAAAAATAGATAACTGTTTATTCGTCATGCATCGAATACAAAATTTGAATTCAAGTTGTAGAATGAATTTACATATCACGTTTGACGTGTAGGAAATGAATGTCCAATCAAGTAAACGTCGCAAATAAATCACTGAAATATACTTTCATACATCATCTGCTATTAGAATTAAATGTATCATATATATGTGAAGCGGAAATACGATGTAAGACAATTATATGTACATGTAAACCGTGCGACCTTTTGGTCGCCTTTATAGCACAGTTAAGAAGCGTGTTCAAAAATAGACTAAACAGAAATGAATGTTTGAGTACGACTGGTCGCTTCGAAGTTGAAGATATTACAAAATAGAATCTGTCCGTTCGAGGACAAGGACGAAGAATGAACGTAAGTGCCATGGCTGACCTAAAATTTCTGCAACGATATCTGTGCGCGTTCGAAGTTTGATTTTCAACCCTGACCTACTTTTCCGTAGGTACAATGCCAAAGTTACAAAAGCGCAGTTCAAATAAATCGTGTTCCCTTGGATCCATTATCGTGTTACCGACTTTCGAAGGAATTCGTTTTCTGGAGACTGACAAATTCAATTTGTGTATTAATAAAATTTGATCACGAGAATTTTCTCGGTATCTTGTTATAGCTTAAATGTAAAAATGGATATTAATCAACTGCGTTAGATTTAATGTAGTTTCCAAATGCAATTTAGTACTCGAGTCAGTCGGAAAGGTTTATATAAATTGCAACACGAGATTTGTAGTACTCTCGCTTAATGGTTTCGTACTTGCTTCAAAATTACACGTATAAAAGTTTATCAATTGTGACTTTATTTTCAGTTACAAATGAAAGTTTAATTATTAACGTATACTTTGAAAATTATGGAAGAAATATCGAATAATTTTGTCTCCTAAGGATTCGTAAATAATCAAAACGTTGATAAATACATAAAATTATTATTTCAAAATGATTATATGTGACCTATAACTTCCTATAACCAAGGAAAACACGTATTACAAGTAATTTTATTTATATAAGAACAATTAAAATGACTAGTTTGGTGTTATTTAATTCGTTTAGTGACCTTGCTATCGCTCGTGACAGCTATATTATTTTGTTGCTGTCTTCCCTTGTTTTTAAAAAAAATGTAATTTGATAAATATCTCACGCGCTATTTTGATACAAAGATTGGCAGAAGTTTTAGTTATAAATTTATAAATTCAAAGCATAAATATCGAATAACGCGTAACGAATATACAGATATAACATTTCGTGTACTGCTCGTTGAATACAAATAAGTTTTCGAGATTGTAATCTCATTTTTTGATTGTAATTTTCAGATTGTAAATCTCGCGAATCGATCGGTGCGCCGTATTTTCAATCGCGATCAATTGTTTGAATGAAACGTCGTTCATCTGGACAAAAATTAAATATCTAATATCCCTCGATGTTCCACCTAAAAGTGTCAAGTTTCACGAAAATCGACAGTTCGTTAGCTGGTTGACATTCCTCTCCTTAGAGAAAGGCTATAGTCTACTACCCCAGTTTCTAAAGTCACCTCATACGTGCACTTACGTTTGCTGTCGGTGCCACCTTGACTTTGGAAGCTGCTCCTTCGACTGCCAGGCAGGGATCTACTGTAATCTCTGTTAAGTTCATAGGGTTCGACTTCCAGTTGCTCGGATTGGCTGGAGCCTCTTCTCGAATTTGCATGCCAGGCGTGATCTGGGTGCAGGAAGCCGAGCTCGGGGCTTCCGCTGTCGCTTTGTGTATCGTCGCTGTAACTTCTTTCGGGCAATTCCGTTTTCCGCAATAGCCTCTGTGCTATCTCGGTTGAAAAGGAACCACGGGGAGAGCAGTACGGTGATTTACCTAAGCGAAGTCCGCGTAGATCCTCCAAACGATACCTGGAAGTAATCTTACTCGTGAGTAAACTGCGGATGCTTATGCACGTTCATATTTTCGTCGGAAATAGGTAAAAAAGATGAAACCAAGACAGAATTCTGTTTTGTTACTCGAATATCATGGAAGTGTATGTTTCATGAGGAGGTAGCTTTTCTTGAACTACGCATGCGGAAGTATACACCCAAATCTTTTGTTACGCGGCAGTTAAGGGGGTATAATTAGGACGTTAAGGACGTTCTAATCTAGAACGTCAAATTTTAGTGCTTTTTGAAGATTTTTTCTTTAATCTATGTATAAGGAATTTTTATAACGGAGTTTGCACACATATTCATCCACATTTCAAGAACATACGCAATTTTTTGCTGAAGAAAAATAATCAAAATTAAACATAGTACAAACGATCTTGTGCAGTCCTTTCTGAAAAAAAAGTACGTTCGTGTTTGTCACGATTTCAAGCGTTCCGCTTATCTGAAATGATAAAGTACTAATTTTGGTTTTGCAATTAAAATTTGTCGTTCGTATAAAATTCTGCAAATTCGTTGATGTATACCCCTACTCGAATTGATTTTACGAAATAAAGAGACCATATTCCGACGTACATATGTGTAACATCCCAATGTGAAATTACTCACCAAACCGCCCTGTCGTTTTCAAGAGCACGCTGCAAATTAACGTTGCATTCGCCGAGAAAAACTTTCGCAGAGTCGGGACAGAAATCCCAGAGAGTCACCTCAATCGCTCGCTTCATTAAGCTTTCTCCATCAACACGGGAAAAGAGTAACGTCGCGTTCCAAATCGGCTTTTGACTCGGCTCGGCAATCGCAGTTTTCAAAGTACTTTGGTCATCGCTGCAATTTCGATGAACAAATAATCGTCGGTATAACATTCGATAAAGTACACATACGAATCGCAAAAATTGATAAATCATTCATTCGTTTGTGATTAACCTGAAATCGTAATACAAGGGAATCTATTTTAAGTCCAGCGTTCCTAGATCTTACGTTTGTAAAAACTATTTTTGTTCGTTCTACGATACGATAAAAATTTTTGAAATCGATGAAAATCTTTACTGGTAAAAGGAATATAATGAAAACCAGGCACTGGAATGAACAACAATTCGTCAATATTATTTAATTTGAATTTTGTTAGAATCGAATCGGACGATTCTACGCCGAGTTAGGCACTTCAAAGTCACATACATTGTTATATATATATATATATAAAAAAAAAAAAAAACAATTGTTTAAAAGTGACAATGATAATAACTATGTATTAGGTAGTAGAAATTGTGCCCTTCAAGTAGAATTTTGGTAGAATCCTTGTAAGGCCGTTCCAATTCCGAGAAATACTAGTAAACATTGTAGTATTTCCTGCGAGGAACACCCCTCCGCATTCCATGACGTAACAGTAAACATTGTAGTATTTTCTGGTTTTGGAAGATCCCTCAAAGTTCTTTGAAAGCGAAACATTTATATCCATTTTTCCTGACGATCGATTTTCACGAAATTTGTTATATAGGGGTTTTCGGGGTCGCTGATTCCGAATCTAAACTAGAAATTTAGATATTCCAAATGGCGGATACAACATAACGACACAAAATGCGAAAAATGACTGAATCTAGAAGAAACTTGGTATACAGGAGTTTGTGAGGTTGGTGATTCCGCCAAATCTGAACTCGGAATTTAGAAATTCTAATGTCACTTTCAACATGAATTCTTACCAGACTGGAAGAAGAACAAGCCTGGCATACGCTTGTGGTAGCGTTCCGTAGCCCGTGTCTTCTCTTGGGCACAAATCGTCAGCCATGAAAACGGTGACGATCAGTTCTTTGCGATCAGCTTCGTACGAAACTTGAATCTGCACTCGGCCGGACACTTGCTTCTCTTTCGCGATTTGCTCCTAGAATAGAGAAAACGTAATTTAAGACGCCGCATCGAATAAACGATAACCGATGGAGGAGCTTGGGGTAATGCCGAGTCTACGAATGAAAAAAAGACGTGACCTCCGTGTGCTAGAAATCTAGGCAAAACCAAACTCTTCTAGATTGAAATGTGAAAATCGTGAGAGTCGTAACAGAAAGAAGGTTTAATTACAGACGTAACTGGTGTTCGTAATTCAAGCAACCCGGAAAAACGTTCTATTCTTCGTTCTTTTATGTTTATATCAATTTTTATTCGGGAAGATAAATCTTAGTTAGATGAATTGAAAATATGACACGATTCTTAAAAGTTCTTGCGTAGAACAATAGTATAATAAAAAATGTTAGTCGTAGGAAGCCAGAGTACTTTCCTCTCCTAAATTACTTTACGTTACAACTAAATCTCTATACTCGAAACGTCTTGTTATATTATCGTTCTACGCGTAAAATTCTGGAAATTGAAATCACCACCATCAATTACGTCTTTTATTAGTCGTTCTGATTGTGAGCAAAAGAATAACACAGTATCGATACGAAGGAAAAGTATCACGAAAGATCAAACGTCTGTGATTCACGCGTGACTCCTACAAGGAAGGTAAAAAGCAGACTCATGCCCGCATGCAGAAGCGATTTGTGAAGAAACCTTCGATGCTGAGACGAATAAGAGCAAGCAAACTGTGTGTGTCGAGATACGGGCTGTTTTAGTCGTGTGAAGAGTAATTCTTTTAGCTAGAGCTGCATATCTGTTAGACCCTCGTAACTACGGAAGCATGATATTGTTGACGTTAGTGACGAACTCGTGTTGAATATGGCTTGCGTGAGTTTCTGTTACAGTTTGCACAGATTTTCATATACTCTATTCGATTTGTGTGTGGCAAATAGTAAGACATTAAAATATTGAGGAAAAATACTGCCATAAACTTGAACAATGTGTTTGTAAGTTATATATGTATTTAGAAATACACAATAAATAGAAGCAGCGAGTATTAGTCGAACACGTCAGTCTGGTTATACTGTATCACACGTGTTACGAATAAATCGTTAAATTTAACTTTTTAAAAAACAAATTCTTAACCGAACATTTATAGGTATTGCATACCCTTAGTTTATTTTTACGTAGACATCAGCTCTCTTTATTTACAATGTCTATGTTTTACTTTATAAGCATATTTCGATGTACAAAAAAAAAAAATTGTTCGTTTGTCTATATTTCACTTTGCCTGGTAATACGTAAGAGCAATTATTGCGTTCTGTAATCAGCATTATTTTCTCTAAGGAGAATCGGCAATTAGGAAATTTAATGCGAGCATTTGTTTTATACTTTTACTGACCAATTACTATCCTATAAATTCTCATGCTTTGAAACTCAATAAATGAAATGTATATTCAGAATCAGTGAAACACTCTTGTTCGTAGATAAGGATCCACTATATCATTATTCGTAATAAACACACGCATCCTGAAGATAAACAATAGTGCTTTCTAAAACGTAGCAAACAGTATTTATTATCTAGTAATAACCAGTCTCTGTAATTGTCTCCTATATATAGGTCAGGATGAACGATATCATTACTTGTCATAAACACACGTATTCTGAAGGTAAGCAATAGTGCTTTCTAAAAAATTGCAAACAATAATATTTATTGAAATTTCCATTCTAAGAATTCTCTTATAACAGCCAGTCTATATAATTCACATTAATTTATACCGCTTAAAGTAAAAGCTCCTATCCGGTTCTCATTAAGCGCATGAATTATTTGCATTTTATCGACAGATGAAACGTGGGTAGATAAGTTTCGGTGAAAAATTGTAGTGCATCACTGACGCGTTACGATACAGCCAAGAAAAACGTTCGTTCCCGTATCCATTTTATCGCGATAAACGTTGCTATTTTCCATTTTATCCAGTCCTCTTCCGGTCCACTGATCTTCTGCCAATTCCTCGACACGCCTTTGCCCTAATTGCAATTTCAGCTAGATCCATCGTTTCCTTCTCTAATGAGGAAAACCTCGAACAACGCGGGCAAAAAGTTCGTTCGTTTATTAGGAGCATGCGAGAACCAGAGAACGTCTAGTTGGATCAAAAATTTATCTGGGATTCGAGTCGAGATTGCAAAAGTATCGCGCGACAAAAATATCGGGCATCCTGGAAGGACTATGTTTGAAAATGGCCATTTCTGTTACTCGTTAGAAACGGACAATTTTTACGTTATACGAACACGTGGATATCAAGGAATGAGAAAACAATGACGATACGTCAAAAGGCAGAGATTTTTCAAAAGTTTTAATATTTTTTGTATTTTTCAGTTGTAAAAAGCGAGAAAAGGAACACCGTGACATTTTATTTTGAATTTCACATTAAAGATGATAATCATTCCACATTTTCCGATTTTAATATTGATGCTGTAACAATGTTACCAGCACTTGGAAAAAGTTGTTTACGGAAAGTTTCTGTAACAAGAACAGCTATAATAAAACTTTTTGTCGCACAGCTAATATAGGACATCGCGTAAATTACTTTTCCACGAAGCTTTAACATTCGTAACTTTGAATGCGAGGTCATTTGAAAAATATCATTAAAATTGCACACGTTCAGCGGAATGAAAAAAATTGAAATTTTGTATTCAAATCGATCCAAACGATTTTTTCGTTTGATATACCATTCCATTCGTAACATTTCTGACCGAAATCGTTTTGGGTCATTTTCAATGAAAAATATCAATATATTCAAAATTTATATTCATTAAAAATGTAGCAAACTGTTGGAATTTTGATTTCAGGAAAGGAAAATTCTATGATTTTTACATCTAAACCGTAATACGTACAAAGAAATAATTACTTGTTGTTGTTATATCTAATGCGACCTGATGTTTTATAAGATACCAAAGTTTTGTACAACTTTAATGACTTTCAATAATTAAAAATTACATTATCAATTCCGTTTGTTAGCGGGACAGTTTTTTTTTTAATTATTTGCTGCAGTTTATAATCCTTTTTAGACGTTCTTATATTTCTGAAGGAAATAACAATTTCGTTTAATTTCAATTGAAATTTATCCAGGATCAGTAACGTGATACTTTCAAGATCTCGATTTTCGACCTGATGAATCTGAATTCAACCATTTCGGTTTCTCTCACGTCCCTATTGTTTACCATTATTTACCCCAAACACGTACCGTTTTCGTTAGGGATGAGAATCCTGCGGATTTTAAGTCTTGTTTACAGACTTTACTAGTTACACTCAACCCTCTTACAACATAGCCGATTTAACCGCCGTTAAATCGAAGACGTGTTAAGCAAAAACACAATGCAATTTCTTATTACGAGACTATGTTTACGAAAAATTAATTTTTCACGACTTCGACAAAGTTAATCGCGATTCCTGACGAGTACACTGCAGCTATGGTGCATCTATTTAACTTCTTTGTTAAGTTTGACCTAGAAACAGAAAAACAATACACAGAAGGATGGAACGCGAAACGGAAACGCAAAATATAATCGAAGGAAATAACGATGAAGGAGGCGAGGTGCAGCTGGAAGCTGTTAGTAAAACTTAACTTAAAATGTGACGTATGTAAATGTGAAAAAAAAAACATATGCTAAATAGGATGTATATAAACTCATTCATAATAAAATATCGATATCGTCTCGTTAAACAATTTAATGCAATTTTATGCGTTTTGCATTTGGTTCCCACATTACCACGCACCATAAACGCGCAAAATTCACGGTATACTTGAGAGGAATCTACGCAGTGACACGTGACCTTCTAATTCCGACAGGTTTCTCATCCCGGCTCTACATTTAAACGCACACAAAGCCTACGAAAGCGAAGCGTACCAGGCGTCGCGGCGCTTTTTTGGCCTTACAGTGCTCATTGAAATATAGTCGATATCTTTCGAGCCACAGAGCACGGGTAAGTGGAACAAACGAAGCCGAATAATAGTTGTGCCGTCGGAACGGCTCCGTTCCAAGCGAAATTTCGCTTGCTCGGAAATTTGGAAACGTCGCTTTGTTTGCTCTGACAACGTCGCTACGAACGTCAGCGCGAATCGATTACGTGCCACTTCCGACTTCCTTTCAACGACAACACTCAAGGACACTTAATGATGACGAATTTTCACGCGTGTTCATGCTCCGTCTCGCTTTCTGTCTCGCGAAGGCACAGGTGTGAACATGGATTCCGAAGCGACTCATAGGGGAGTATTTGTTCTCGAAATCTAGCCAAAAGTAGATTTTCAAATTCCGCTCGAACCGTAAACTTTTTGCTTTCTTATTAGATCGGGCGTCGTCGTTTCAAGTTTTCAATTTTTATGTTTTAAGCTAAATGTCGGATGAACAAACTGTAAATATACAAAAAAATATCGTCTTGTCATCTTGTATAGGAAGATATTGGTTTGTCCGGAATGTTCGTGCCGTTTTCGAAGGAAAATTGGAACGCAGAATATTTAAATTTTAGTATAAATTTATTAAGTTATACAGGTGCCATTTTGATCTACAACCTTTTCCCATCTTTCAGGCAATTCGAATATTCTGTCCGTTCTGATATCGTTCTGATATATTCAGACATGTCCTAACGTCACCTACCAAAAAACGGCACGAACTTTCCGCGCAATACAATACTTTTAAAAAATCCATTTGACGAATTTAAAAATTTCGTCCACTTGCACGGGGCTCCGGACTTCGTTTCGTTACTGGATTTCGATGTACATACGTATGTATATATCTTCGTGGTCAAAATGTTAATTATTATTTTAACATTTTAACTGTAACATTTTCTTTCTATCGTGAGAAACACGCGGATATAGTTAAGATGCTAGTGTTAAGTAGGACACCTTGTGTATTAGCACGGTAACGAATAATAATACGATTGTCAAGTACGCATATTAAAAGAGTCCATTCTTTATGTACGATTTCAAATAGAATATAATTTTTACCATCCGAAACGATACTTTACTCAGCTTTCCACACCTGTGCCTTACT